TATACAAAATGACAAAGTAGTCAAAGAATACAATGGGCCAACAACTCTATGGGAGAGCTGATTGAAAGAATACCCAAGGCCATAACCTACTTTGTCATTTTGTATACTTCTAGTATACTAGGACCTTTTTTTAATATATAAGTTTCTTTACTTATCAAAAAAAAAAAATCCCACATCTTATAAAGATGAAAATATAGACAAATTTATAAAGGTTTAGACTATACCTCTTAACAAGTTAACATTTTAAGATGGAATCTCAAATCTTAACATAGTATCAAAGCCCATTAAATTCCAACGAATAATTTGATCCGATTAAAACTCAAAAAAATGAGCACACGAATTTCAAGATTGATTTGCTCAAACGAGTCACCATCTTGCGGGGCATATTAAGGGATAAAATCCAACATCTAATAAAGATGAAAATATAGACCAATTTATAAGGCTTTGAGCTACGTCTCTTAACAACGTTGACATTTTAATATGGAATTTCAAATCTTAACAGTTTACGCCTATGTGAATTGATAGATTTTGGTACATTGATCCTGACACCACATTTTTCCAATCAACTGCTAGATTTTGTGTGAGCAAATAGTTTAATCCTAAAAAATTAGAACTCACCATCCTCACTCTTGCTCTTTTCTAGTTTTCTCTCCCCGGTGGACGCAATCTTATACGGGACCACGGATTTCCCACCATCTGACCTGCCAAAATGATAAATCCTCTCCTTAGCATACTCAAAAATCTTGTAACTAGACTATGAAAAGATCCAAACAGACGGAAAACTCTCTGAGGCTCTCAGAGAATCCAGATACTTCAAGTAAGTCACTGGATCATTCCTATCAAGGCCAGATCACATGTAACAGTCCGCATTCCAAACTAAATCATAGAAGAAAGGAATTAAATGATCAAACAAATCATCAACGCCAAGGAAAAGATGCAGCTGCGAACAATGTACAAGGGCATTATGCAATCTGATCCCATAACTCAGTTATGTAATAACTGGTAGCATAAGAAAAAAAATTCATTCTGAAAAAAAGGATAATAAATTTCTCAAATGAATGAAAACCCCACCAGTTTTGGGTTATATCATATTGTTTCAAGTGAATCAAGCAAGTAAAATGACAAATTGTTCAGAGCACGTCGATTCATGCCCATCAAACTTCACACTCCTAAATCCAACTAGAATAACTAGATGTTCATTAACAAAGAACTGGAAGTTTTAATGGAATCATTTGGACTGAATTGATTTGGGTAGGTTAAATGTCAGTGATTCAAAGTGTTTAACGAATTTATGATGGTTTGATCAGTCAATCTATAAGTTTGAATTTACTCAACATAACAAGTGCTTTTGCTTTAAAAAAAAAGATTTTTTCTTCTCGTTTAGATAAAGCTGTGACGTTTTCCAACTGTAGTTGAGTTCAACACTTTTAGTTACTCATCAAGCAGAACAAGAAGTTTTACATCACATCATTGCCGATGACCTATTGAAAGCGGCATTCCACCTAAATTGGAATTGTAATTCCAGTGGGGCTAGATAGCATTACTTATGAGTAAGAACATTAATGCCCACCGTACAACTTAACAAAGCCTTATCTTGTAAAGTGAATACAATATATTAAGCTAAATTCAAGGTTAGAAAGTGTCGTATATTCAACAAAGTCATTTTGTATCACTTAGCATTTTAATTCTTCTAGTCTTCCTATTGCCAACGAAATAATTAATAACATGAAGTTAAAATCCTATTAAATTACCTGGCAAGGTAATCCAACAACTTTCTCAGCGTATTTAAATCGGAAATAAGCTGCTTCGTCTTCTTCCCCAATGTATGACTAGGGTCCAACTTCCTCCTTGCCATCTTGTTGAATGACTTCAACAATCCATTCTCAACAGTCAAATCTTCGATGTCAACCTTGTTTATCTTCCTCATTTCATTTAGACACGCATCCATTACCTCAATCACTGCTTTCTGAATCACAATCATGTACGGCGACATTGGCACTCTGATATCAACCAAATCCTGTGAAACATGTACCTAAAATAACAAAAAACAAAAGCATCAATAAATGAAGACATCCGCAAATCAACAACGCAGAGGAAAATCGCAGGTTTTATAATCATTTGAGCATTGAGATATATGAAGCCTGTGGAAGCTAATTTTCAGGTAAATGTTCTATGCTAACAAATTTCAAGAGGACGACTGGACATTACAGGTAAAGGTTTTATGCCGAAAAGACTGTACCTTGTGATGGCAAAACAAGAAGTGCGCACTGGAAACTTCATTGAAAATCCTAATATCTGAAATCTAGGCCAAAGGGGGAGTTTCCTGAGAAAAAGGCACTTGAGGATCCGTTCAGCTTTGGCAAAGCCCGAGACCATTGCGTGGGGACAGTCGGAAAAGGCTCGTACATAGATAGACCGATTAGAAGACCTCAGAATCCTCACAATGAACGCCTCAGTGGAAGTATCAGAAAGTGAATGCGCATTGAGAAGAATATTTCCAGCAACAGCAGTAGTCGGCAGGCGGTGGGCGAGTAAGTCGACAATTAATGTCCGCTTGGTGATAAAGATGATCCACCAGAGCCGTAGATGGAGAGGCGCTGTGGAGCCGGAAGATCGAAGGTGCTTTCAGAGGTCGAAATTGTGGTTTCGTAATTTAGGGTGTTTTGGTAATTGCCGAGAATATAGGATTTTTGGGAAGGAGAGGCGGATAAGATGAGGAGGGAGCCTTGGGAGGGGTGGTGGAGGTGAAGGAGGGAGGATATTAGTTTGGGGATGCCTAGGCTGCCGGAGATGATTACAAGACCGCCGCTATGGTCGTTCAGGAGGTCTCCGATCATCTGTTCGTAAAATTTTAACATCGGTGGCAGTGACGGTGGTTTTGGTTTTTGGCGGCAACATCACCCGCGTGTTCCTTTATACATCACTTTTTATATACTATGTGCACGCAACGTGCAATGCACATTTGCTTTATATTTAATAGTTTTGTTTAA